CCCCAAAACCCCAAAACCCCAAAACCCCTTACTAGCGCATAAAATTGTTAAAAATACATAGAATAATTAGTGTTTATAGGTTTGGGAAATTTTCTTCTGAGACAATTTGTGTTCCTGCCAACTGATTTATTCTTCTTAAATGGCCTTCTCCTCAAGAAGTTAAACTGAGTGTTCTCTCCTGATGACTTGTCCTTCCGAGGATATATGTTTCTTAGTGTAAATACATCTCTATCTCCTGGTTGAAGAGTGGTATTCTTAGTAACATCTGTGTGAAGTGATGGGGAATTCAGATGGGTGAAGTTCTTCTTCTTAAGATTTACTCTTGAAATAAGTTTCCTTTGGAACCCTCAGTTAAATGATACATTCTTTCCAGTTCTCAGTAAATTACCTCTTTTTCTTGGAGAATTATTGATGAAATCTCCTTTATGAGGTTCAAATACAATATTTTGAGGTGCTTTACTGAAAATATCCTCTCTTGAGCTATCATAAACAACTGTTTTATCAATGTCACTCTCCTCAGACACCTCTCTAAGACTTTCTATTTCAATTTTTTGTGATTTAAATTCTCGAGAGAGCTTCCTAGTGACCTCATGAATCTTGCTTCTCAAACTACTGATCCTCTCATGATCATATTCCTTCTCTAAATCACTCTGCCTAGGCGTATGATTAGGAAGTAAAATATTCTGTAAAGCCATCTTTTTCTGCATTTGGTTGTAATTTTGGGATTTCTTCCTCTCGCTTTCTCTCTTTTGCTGAATATAATCAATCCTTGTACCTAATTTATTTCTACAATTAAGATTAAAGGCTTACCATTAGAGCTTCCTTATTATCAACAGACATAATTGAGCTTTCAGTGGAGATATTGATTAAATTATTACTGTAATTATCCTTAATCTTCTTCACGATCTTTTCTTTGATCCTTAGCACTTCTTTCTGGTATTCGTCACTCAGCCTGTCATCCTCAGAGTCTGAATCAAGACTATCAGTAAACTTCGATTTTACACATCTAAATTTCGATGTAGTCACTTCATCTATCCTCTGTAGTCTCGTATGCTTCTTGCTCTGTTGAGAATTTATCATTTTACTAATAGTCTTTTTCAAAAGATCAAGTGAGCCATGGGGTAACTTCCTCGTCATCTCTTGTGACTCATTCTTAAGTCACTTAACGCTGCTCTCCTTACTCGAATTGGATATCTTATTCTTCATAATGCTGCCAATAGAGTCAAGGTCGCTTACAATCAATTGAGTTTCTTCATTGTCATTAGCGTATAAGTTCATCATTTTATAACCTCCTTCATCGAAGATTTGATATTTGTTCAATCCTGAGTTCTTCTCAGAGCTTGTGAAGGTTTCTATCCTTTCTTGGTTTTCAAGAGGGAGGTCTTGAACCTTCTCAGGGGTTAAGGAATTTCTTCTCTTATTTCCAATGTTATTTGGACTATCTGTGTTCTGACCACAAATTCCAGAAGCTCCTCCAGAATCAAATTTCTCTCCGAAGGTGAAATCAGTCTGAGATTTAAGATTAGAACTAAGTTGTTTTGACCACGAGTTTGTTCTTAAATTTGACCGTTTATCATCTTGAGCATCTTCCTGAAAAGTTACTCTACCTGGGTGAGATCCCATCTGGGGGTTTGCTCTAACAGTGTCAGTATCTGACTTCTGGGATTGATCAAGAGAGTCCTGAATGGATCCTTCTGTGCTATATTTATGTTTAATAGTGTCTTGGTCGCTACTATTATCTTCCATTTTCAATAAAAATAAATAAAATTGGGGTTTTGGGGTTTTGGGGTTTTGGGGTTTTGGGGTTTTGGGG